TTTTTTTTTAAAAGGGAACTTCATTGATGTGTTCATCTTCTTAATTGGGAAGAGTACTAATTATACATACTTGACAAAAGACAGGTTTACAATAAAGTCTTCTCTACATTAAATGTGACATTAATTCACTAGGGCCAACTCAACATTTAGGTCATGTGCTAATTTGGTAGTAGGGAAAGTACTGGGTTTGAAATACAATATTGAACTTTTAGCATAAAATATCATCCTTTTCTGTGAGATTAAATTTACTAATTAGGAACCAAATTCATGTTGAGTTTGTGCCACACCAATTACCATGATCCAGGAAGTCTGTCTGGTTATCAAGTGAAAAATATTTAAATGCTTTTGAACAGATTGATAATGTACAGAAGGTTTTTTAACAATCATCACCATTTAAGTCTCTATCTAAATGCACAGATGTTATGTACAACCACAATACAATTCAAAAGAAAAGAAGTTGGAAAGGGAAGTATTTTATGGATTAATATAGAGTAGACTGTGTCACATGAAAAATTAAGTTTCCACTGAACCTACTTCAAATAATGCATCCAGTATATGATGGAGATGGATCACTGAGTCTCACAAATCTAGCATGCTAGTTATGAATATTAGTGACAGAAAGATTTAGTTATGTGCACCAACCCTCCCCTCCACCCAGTGATGAAATAATTAGTCTTTCAGTTCTTCTTCACTACCATTGTCATTCTCTACCTTGTCCTTTGAAAACAAATTTGAAACAGAAGGCTATTCAGAGATTAATATTGACAGATATTAAAGTATGAGTAACTAGAAGCCATTCCCCATTCCCATGACAAAGGTTTTTGGAATAGACAGTAAAAAAAGAAAAGTTATTTTTTCTATCCTCTCTCTCTCTCCCTCTATACACACACAGGTGTTATATATGTCTGTATATTATGTGTGTGTGTGTGTGTGTGTGTGTGTGTGTATTTTTTTCAAAACAGACTGGCACATGATACTGCTGATGAATATTTCAAAGATAGAAAAAGGTAAGCCAAAATGTAGACTATGAAGAGGCACAGAATTATACTTTCCAATTCAGGTCCTTCTGTATCACCAAAAGCAGATTTTTCCCTTCTATTTTTAAAGTCCTTCACAAAGAAGATTGAGATTAGTGTAATGTCATATGAACTTAGGTCTAGTACAGGGCAGGGAACCTGAGGCCCTGAGGCTATATGCTGTCTTCTAGGTCCTTGGGTATGGCCTTTTGACTGAGCCCAAGTTTTACAGAACAAATCCTTTTATTAAGAGGATTTGTTCTGAAAAACTGTACTCAGTCAGGCTGCACTTGAGGATTTAGAGTGCCACATGTGATCTTGAGGCCACAGGTTTCCCACCACTGGTCTAGGATAAACTTTGATGATCAATTCATATTTTCCATAGAAGAAAAAAAGACAGATCAACTGCTCTTTTTGCATAAATAGTCCAAATACATTAAATTTGAAACCTGGATCTTAGCACTGATAGACCAACAACCTTGTGGCTATCTTTCTTGATGGAGCAACAATAGGCATCTACTAACAATGTATTATTTCAACACTTATGAATAGGTTAGAGAATATGTTTGTGAGAGCATGAAGCTTTTATTGATCCTTCCAGCAGCTAGCATCCTCTCTTTCCAAAATGTACTTGTGTATATTTTGTATGTAATCTGAGTATGATTATTTATGTACATGTTATATTGTCCTATGGAATGCTAACTCCTTGAGAATAAGGGTTTTTTTAAAAAATTTTTTGTCTTTGTGTGTTCAGCACCTGGGGCTTTTCCTGACCTGTAGTGGGTGCTTATTGAATCTTTAGTGAATGATTACCAGAAAGGCAAAATGGTCTAGTGAATAGGGCACTAGCAAACTTAGGTTCAGATTCTCTCTCAGACACTTACCACTTGTGTCATGCTTGGCCTTGGCTTCTTCCTCTATAAAATGAAGGAGTTGGAATTGAGGGACTCTAAGATTTCTTCCCCCTCTTAATCTATGACTAATCGCATGTATGTGTTTTGGGGCACATATGATTATCTTTAATTCAACAGAACTTTATTATCCTCTACTTATGTAAGGTACTAGACGTCTCTGAAAATAAGACAGAAACAATAGACAAACAAACAAAAGCCAAAAGAAGAAATAGTCTCTAACTTCAAGGAGCTTATTACATACTTTCTTTCTTTTTTTGGGGGGGAGGGGAGTAATGTTAGGATATAGCATTATGCACATAAAAAAATCCAAATAAGTTCAAGTGCGAAGCATTGACAATTGTGAGAATAATGAAATCTACCTTCTTGAAGAAGGTGGTACCTAACCTGAGCTTTGAAAGAGATTGAGAATTCTAATATATGGAGTTGAGGAAGGATGGTATTTCATCTTCTTATCCTGTTGTTTCAACTAAGTAAACAATTGAAATTCCATGATAAAAAAGAAGGAAGCTTGGAGACAGGGAAATGAAGAGAAGAAGAAAAATAAAAACTATATTTAAAAAATAGAATGTAGATTCATATAGCTATTTTAAAATTATTCACCTGAAGAAGATGTGTTATTGGTTTTCATTCATATTCAAATCTCTGTGACTCTATTTGGGGCTTTCTTCGCAAAGATACTAGAGTAGCTTATCATTTCCTTCTCCAGCTCATTTTACAAATGAGTAAACTGAGGCAAATGCAGTTTAGTGACTAGACCAGGGTCACTCAGTAAGTGTCCGAGGCCAGATATTAACTCAGGAATATGAGTCTTCCTGACTCCAGGCCCAGTGTTCTACACACTGTGCCACTACAAGTCAGTGTATGGGGAATCCTTGGTCTAGGCATCTGTCCATTTTGAATGTGGATTATTTTTCTTAACTTTTGTATCATCATATTTTGATAAACATGTTTATTTTCATAGAAAATTTACTTTTTCCTGTGTTTCTTTTCATCTTTTACCTCCTCCTAGTTACAGAGAATGATAACATTGTTTTGTATTGCTTTGTTTGCAAGAGCATATTTTCAATGATCAATGTCAAAATGATGTAGCAGAAGTAAAGATTCCGTTTTCCACTTTAAATAAAAGTCAAGTAATATTTTGAACTTACAATTTAACTTCATTAAATATTTCACTATTCTGAAAACTATTGAAAAGCTCAGAAACCAGGCCTTATAACAGCTTTATTACTAACCCAAAGCTGCAATGGTTTCAGTGAGAGTGAATTCTCCCAGTGAGATCAGGAGAATTTACCTGTCTAGAAATAACTGGGTTAGGAAAGTTTTAGTTTCAATATTTCCCTCTAACCTGAGCCACTTATTATTGAATGTTTTCTTTCAGCACTTATTTCCTAAATCAAGCAAGAACATTTTATGTTGTCACAAAGTGATGAATTGATTTATGAAAGGAAGATTTGCTCTTTGCTTTTCATTTGGACTTGAATAAAAACATTTTCTTTCTAGACATGAATTAATTAATGGTTTTCTACTCTGGTCATTCACAACATAAAAAGAATATAAACATAAATGGATCAAGCTATTGAAAAGACTATCCAAAAAACATTGGAGGGTAGGTAGTAGAAAAGGAGGAGAAATAACAAACTGGTTAGAGAGAGTCTAACTAAATCCAACCGTCTATGTACTTGACACATAGTAGACGCTTACTAAAGATTATTAAATAAATTAATTTTTTTGGTTCTGACTTATGATTTCATAGGCATGGGGAACCATCAGTGTGAAAAACGTAACTCCATCAATGCAGATGTCTGTCTATTCAGATGTTAACTTATAGAATTGAATCTTAATAAACATAAATTAAATGACAAATTGAAATTAAAAACTGTCATCATTGCAAGGAAAATAAAACTAATGCCTTGTTTTCATAATAGGACCATGGAATCAGAGCAACCCATGTGTGGAACACATTATACACGGTGCTATACAGTCTGACCAAGAGAGCCAAAAACATTCTATTTTCCATAAAGCAAGATAATCTTTTAACATATTGTTTCTTAGCTGCTGTGTTAGCCAAACTTCTTTAAAAGGAAAAAAAAGTAGCAGTGTTGTAGTCTTTAGCATTTTAAAAATTCTGCTTCAATGGGTAGAAAGACTGTGAGGTGAAATTTATCACAGTGGCTTTTGGCTAGTTTTCAGATTGATTGCTGAGCCATATGGGAGCAAAGATAGTTAATACATATTTATTAAGTGGCTACCATGGAGGTGATACAGTGGGTAGAATGTTGGGTCTGGGGTCAGAAAGATTCATCTTCCTGAGTTCACATATGGTCTAAGGTGTTTATTAACTGTGTCATCCTGGGCAAGTCACTTAACCCTGTTTGCCTCAGTTTCCTCAACTGTAAAATAGTCTGGGGAAGGAAATGGCAAACCATTCTAGTATTTTTGCTGAGAAAACTGCACATGAGGTCATGAAGAGTCAGATACAACTAAAAAACAACTGAACAAGTGGCTGCCATATGCCAAACACTTTTCTAATTGTCAGGGGCCAAAGACAAAGGGGCAAAAGACATTCTCTGTCTTCAAGGAGTTCATGATCTAATGAGGAACAAAAAAAGCAAACAATTATAGAAACCAACTGCATACAGGAAAAAAGATAGTTCAAATATGGTCATTAATATAATCAGAACAGGTAGGGCCAAAGATTTGATTGAGTTATTTTAATGTTTTCACAAATCTCCTTACTAGTAGGATGACTAAGAGCTGGCAAAAAAAACCAAAAAACAAAAAACAAACAAAAAAATCTTAATTAGTGATTAGATTAGATTTACATAGGGGTTCAACCTAAATATTTAAAAATTACCACCTTAGATTGTCATTTTGGTCTTACCCATTAAACAAGTTATTAGAAGCACTTCAGAATCCAAGGAAAGATTTTAGTGACCTTACATTTTTGAAACACCTAATTAGATTTTCTTGGTAAAACTCATTATATATCATTTCTCATTAATTCAAAATAATACCAGTCTCAGAACCAGCAATGTTTTCTGTCCAGTGCTGATGACCGATTGCCCTGCTTTTGCCATGATGGGAAAGAAGATCCATGAAATTTTCTAACCAGATTTTGAAGTGAAGAAACTTGCAATTATATCAAATAAAGTAGGGAGTGGTCAGGTGTGGAAGGGCCTGCCTATGGCAATGCTGTAATCCCTGTTGTTGGGGCAATTAAGGCTAGTAGATTCCTTGAGTTTTGGAGTTTTGAGCTACAGTAAAGTGAAAACCAAGTAGGTGAGTCCCCAGGTACTCCAAGCTTCCTCCAAGAAGGGCAAAGTGGCCTAGGTCAGAAAAAGAAAAACAGAGCATGTTAAAACAGGGGTCAGTAAGGTGGTACAGTGAATAGAGTGCCGGGCCTGGACTCGGGGAGGCCTGAGTTCTTTTCATCCTCAGATATTCCCAGCTATGTGACCTTAGGCAAGTTACTCAACTATTGTCTGCCTTAGTTTCCTCATTTACAAAATGAGGATAATTTTAACACCTACATCTCAAGGTTTTGTGAGAATCAAATGAGATAGCTTCTGTAAAAAACTTGGCACAGTACCTAGACCACACGATGAGCTTAATATAAATGTTTACTCCTTTACCTTTCTCAGTGAGTTACCAAAATACTTGGTATGTGGGTGACATTAGGAGACTCAGTGTCACAAAACAAATATAAAATAGGGAATGAGTCAGCCAGCAGGAATATCTAGGACAAGAAAACAGCTATTTCTTTTCAAATCTCCTTGTGACCACTTCATAAAAATTATACTCAATAAAACAGAAGGATTTAATTTTTCAAGGGGTTTGTCACATAGTTGAATTTTTAGGATTCTATTCATGACTACATTAAACATTAATGAGGAGATAAGAATTTGGGCTTTTTTTTTCCTGACTCCTTGAGTTAAATCCATTTATTATGACCAAGTCCAAATTTACCAGTGCCATTGAGCTCTTAGGTCAGAGGCCTGGATTGTAAGCAAGGTCTCAGTGTCTTAAGGCTTCCTTGCAACTCTCAGCCACTGCTATGAAAAATAAATAGATTTTATTTTCACTCACATTCAGAACTGCTAGTGACTTGTGCTAGATAATAGAAAGTGGAGGAAGAAAGATTAGATGGAAACCTAAATAAATTACTTCTAAACTCTAAAAAGATATAGAATCCTAAAACTGTGAATTTGTAAGCATACAGATACAAGTACATCATACATTGCTCATTCAAAGATTCATTTGCTAGGTTAAAAGAATTACATTTATATTTCATTCCAGTACATGCCTAAAGCAATAAATTTGCTATATCCATAGCTTCAATCTCTAAATATTTTATACAACATTTGATATTTCTGTGTTTTAACAATTAAATGCTGATTTAACACCCAATAACATATGGCTTGTTGGATGTTGACCCTTTAAACAATGGAAAAGATTTCTTCAACGAGATCAAGATTCTCTGAAATGAAACGGAGTTCCCTTACTGAAACCTAGCCAAAAAATACTTCATGATGACAGTAATCATAAAAAGGATGGCAGCGGATCTGATATCTCTGAAGTACTACCTAATGTAAACTGAAGTTAAAATAGTAGATCATTAAAAATGGATAACTTTCAGAAGTGCCTGCATTGTGAAAAACATTAAAAAATTTTCATACAGAATTGAGACATGGGTTCAAGATGTAAAATGAATAATCCTTGTATCTTTAATTCACATTGATAAGCATTTCTAAAACAAAAGATTATGAATCTCCATTTTTTTCCCTAAAATTTAAAAAAAATCAAGAGAGAGATATGCTCATAAGATTTTGCTAGATATAAATGGGAGAGGTCAAGTGAAGCCAGGGGCAGTTAACCTAAAATTACTTCTATGAGGGAAAATAGTCTACAGAGTTAAAAAAAAATCATAAGTTATGATTTCTTTCCTTTGAATATAGTAATAGTATTTGCTTACTTGCTATCTGTTTCAGTCAATGTTTGAACTTTGACAGCAAGGCCACACTGATGCAGACCATGAATAGTTTGCAGTAACTCTGTACCTTCACCCCCACCATGGATTTTCTTGAAATCCAGGAGACCTGCCCTACATATTGCCATATTATGCAGAATCTTCTCAAACATCACAGAACATTTTTGTGAATTGTTTTTTACTTGGGTTTTGCGGAATATGCCTGAATAGAAGACCAAGGAATTCTGTGCTCGTTTGTACCTTTACTTAGTAAAATGAAGATTTACCTAAACTCTCAGATTAGCAGGTGGCTTTTGCAAGAGACAAAAGAATCTTAGTTCCTTTACCCCATGGAACGCTATAATCACTGAGTGTCATTTCTTTCCAAATTCAATTCATTTATCAGAGGTTACTTCCTCATATGTTAAATGAAGATAATACTTATGCTATCTAACTCCCTGGGTTTATGGGATTATAGATTATAGGATTATAGTTGGAAGGGACTTGAACAAATATCTACTCCTTTACTATCATTTCTCCAATTAAAAAAATGAGGGCAAAATGGTGAATCAACTTGAATAAAATCACAGAGGTATAAGTTAGCAGAATAAGTTGAAGAACCCATATGCCATCTCCAAATACAATTCTTTTTCCATTATGCCAAACACATCTGTCTAAATCAGTATTGATTCAGCATTTAAATAAATAGTGATACATAAAACAGAGTCAGAAAGACTGGGGTTCAAATGCTACTTCAAACACTTAACCTTGTGACACTTGGCAAATCTCTTTGTAGTTTCTTCATCTGTAAAATGGGATAATAATTTGTTGTTGTTCAGTTGTTTTTCAGTCATGTCCAACTCTTCATGACTTCATTTGGGATTTTCTTGGCAAAGATACTGGAGTGGTTTGCTATTTCCTTCTGCAGATCATTTTACAGATGAGGAAACTGAGGCAAACAGGGTTAAGTAGTCACACAGCTGAGGCCAGATTTGAACCCAGGAAGATGAATCTTCCTGATTTTAGGCCTGGCACTCTATCCACTGTGCCTCCTAGCTGCCCCAGCATAATGAGATGTAATGAAAATCAAATAAGGTGATGTATATTGAGTGTTTTTAAAACCTTAAAGATCTATGTAAATGTCTGTTATCATTATCTGTAAGATTGTTGTGGTGGGTATATTCTCCAACAATGCAGGTTGCAACCCAACCATTATTATTATTTTTTAATCCTGTATAATTCTTGTCTACATTTTCCCACAGATCTACTGAAGATCCATTCATTGTGCTGGAAGTTTTCTGTGGTTTTGTTTGTTTGTTTTCTGTTTATTTTACCTCTCATGGACAACAGGGGCAGACTTGAGTGGTCCATCTGTTACCACATGATTGTCCTGTCTCCTTTTCTAATTATCCATTTCATCTATGAGATGTTCTCTCCACCACTTATACGTAAGCCATCAATAGAAAGAGGCTGTCTTGCTTGTGTCTCTTGTTCCTTGAGTCACCTGTACCTTTGATTACTCAGAGATTGTACGGTTCCCAGATTCACAAACATAGAGCATTCCCAGAGGAACATCTCTGTTAAAAACAAAAGATAGGGCTGTGTTCCATGGAATATTGCTCCAGGAATTCTAAGGACACTGTAATTTCCCAAATGTTAAGTCAGCTTACTCTCTTTACCCTATTAAATTCTATCTATCTGAAACTTTCTTACTTTATTATTTCCACATTTTGGTTTTTACAGAGCCCTTCCTCCCCCTTTTCCCAGGAAGAATTTGTCACTGGCTATCATCTCCGGTATTGATGCACCTTCTTTCATGTCCCTGAATGAACTGGAGGAGGAGGAAGAGTAAGCATCCTTTATTCTCCCACTGCCACTTCCCACCCAACCAGGCATCAATATGGGATAGTAGATTTCCCTCAACTCAGATTTACAGGCTGCGTTCCCAGAAGGACAGTTATCACAATTTCAAAGTATTATGTGCATATTTAAAACTACAGCTCATAAGACCCTGCTGGTATTTTCAGCTTTACCCTAATTAACCAGTTAAAAAACAATTAGCTCAAAACAAATGACTTTATTGATGACATAGTAAGAAGAGTAGTAATAAAGTATCCCTCCCACAAACCTAGGGTGTACTCCTCCACAAATATATGCAGCATAAATAGAAAGAAGGGGTTCACATAGGAAGTTGAGCAGAAGAAGGCAATCGTGTAAGGAACTCTCATGGCCAAGACAATTCATATCTCTGCCAATGTAAGACACCAGTGCCTTTTCATCTTGGGGTGTACTCATGGTACTCCTGATCAGCACTATATCTTTGATAGACAAGTCTCCACTAGGCTCTCTTGGTCCGATTCCCTGCAGCTCTACTCACCTTTGCAGTCCTATTATCTGGTCCTTGGCTTTGCTAGGAGAGGCATCTAATGTTGAGTGAATTGTTCCACTTGGACATAACATTGCCAATATAGGGTGATGAGAGAGGGAAGAGGAGAAAGAAATTCCTCACCCGTCCTGGATTCTGGAAAAAGTACACACAAAAAAACAAATGGTGATTATTTTTTTTGTTCATTGATTTCTTCCTAAATATCTGGCTCTCTATTCAGCTCTTTCTTGACTACCATAAATGACACTTTTCTCAGAACTTCTATTTTTTTTAAGGCGATTGGGGTTGTGACTTGCCCAAGGTCACATAGCTAGTAAGTGTCAAGTGTTTGGCCTGAGGCTGGATTTGAACTCAGGTCCTCCTGACTTCAGGGCCAGTGCCCTATCCACTGTGCCACCTAGCTGCCCCCTTTTTTCTCAGAACTTTTGAGTGCTTTATAAGGACACCAGAAGCATGTCTGATCCTTCAACCAAGCACTGGTTAGTTGACCTATTATTCCATTGAGTTTATTGAAGGACATCATACTTTCAAAAGGAGTTCTTAACAATTCCTTTATATTTGTCCACTATCAAATTGTTGTTGTTTTAACATAATAGAGTGAAGACCTGGAAGAACTACAGAAACTGATTCAAAGTGAAGCAAGCAGAGCCAAGAAAATAAAGTAAACATCCATATAAATTGAGAGAATCACAACACAATCAGAAATTAATATTGCTAAATAGTTTTTAAAAAAATTTGAAAGCTAGACCCTAAAGAAAAGATATGAGAAGATACCTCCCTCCACTACTTTTCATTGGTGGATCCATTGGAATGTAATATTGCATATATGAGGATCACATCAGATATCTCTGTTAAAAATCTGACATTTGAGAGATATAAGTAATTGTTGCAAATATTATGCAAGGTGTGTATGTTTTGTCCATATAAGTTATAGTATAACCAAATGGGTTTGTCTAAAAGTGTTTTAGAAGAAGGTATGACAGCTAGCTCTATAATCTTGCCCACCACTTTCCAAGAGGGACTTTGATTCCTGCCCCAAAAGAAGTTGGAAAAGGTGCAAAGAAGTTAACTTTTATGTTTTTCTCAATTAGGAGTACAGTATTAGACTACGGAAACAATTCAGCTTCCCCTTAAAGAGGGAGGAGTACAGCTTATATCAAAAGGTTTACTTACTTCACATCAGACTTGAGCAACACAAAAGACTATCACACATAGTGATTAGAAAATAAACTTTTAAACAAGTAGAAAGCAAAAGGAAAAGAGAAAAGTTACAGCACTGCAGAATAATGCCAGATAATATAAAGAGTAAATGAGTTCTCCCACTGAGAGATAAGATATCTTAGCTAAAAGAGAGAAGGGAAGGGGAAGGGAGGGGAGGGGAGGGGAGGGACATACAGTGATAGAGATTGACAGAGGGACAGAGAAATAAAGACTTCTCAATCTTAGAGAAGAAGAAATCTTTAGAAATCTCTAAGGAGCCAAGCTGGAAATTGGAGACATGTTTAGTGGCTAGCTTTCCCCTACATGTTCACTGATTCACAAAGTCTTTTGTGTGGAAATACACAAGACCTCTCAAAATAAGAAGAAAGAGAAAAGCCTTTTTTCTCTTGTGGCCAACTCCACCCCAGATTCAGGCACTGAGCATGGAGTAATCGCTTTCTCCACCAATGAAGGCAGTCAAATGAAAATGCATCAGACTTAAATGGGCAAGGACATGCAGTTTCTACAAGAAAAAAAAAATGACATGTGAAAGCATGTTCCAAATCATCCGTTGTTAAGGAAATAAAAATTAAAACATCTCTGAGATTTCACTTTATAATCTGCAAACTGACAAAGATAACAAAAATAATTTTGAGGGTAGCAGGGCTTACTGTGGATAAGAAATGACAAATACCAGGAATTCAGAGAAATGTGAGAAGATTTGCATGAACTGATGCAAAATAAAAATAGAATTTTACAAATAAGCATAATGATAACAATAATACAGATGGAAAGAGCACTAAAAGGAATCTTGACCCTGAGTCACTGAGAAACTGGCTCCATGGAATATACCTCCTCCTTAGCACAGAAAAGTAGAGGATTGCTACGATTTCAGTAACTGTATCAGACATTTTTGCTTAGCTGCTTTTCTTTGTTACAAGGCAGGGTTCAATCCAGATTTCCAAAAATGATTTAAATGTAAAATCAACAACTTCAATAATGTGTATTTTAATCTAAAATAAATTGTATTTCAAAATGCAACAATATGTAGTACAATGTATTCCCTTTAATCATGCATTTCTATTTACCAGAAATAATTTTCTTTCATTTTCTTCTCCAATCACACCGAAAAGAATGTTTCTTGCAGTTGTGTTTTTGAAGGGTCTAGATTTATTTTACCTTGGTACATTTTGATAAGGCTTCCAGATGCATTTTTCAATAAAAAATTTCATACTTATCCAAATTTGATACAACCCAGATGAAGAGCATAGATACCAGGAAACTTTTCAGAATTGAACCTATGTCTTTTAAAAGGCAGAATTAATTTTAGAATGTGTGAAATAGCAAAATGTCTTTCAAGTGTTGTCTTGTCTCAAATCACTATTGATGGATGTCATATTAGCTCAGAAAAGAGTGATACTTCAGAAACAAGTGTCAGGCTCAAACAAACAAATTTTTTTTTTTAAAAAAGGAAGAAAAATCCTGATCACTGCATATCAGCCTCTTAAGTTTTGTTTGGGCCCTAGGCCTGATGAGTAAGAGTCTAAGACTGATATTTGAAGTCTTAGAGATTCTGGCTTTTTTTCCCCCCAATACACTAAGATCAAGAATAGCAAAACCAAGTAAATCTATATACCCCAGTGAGAATAATCCAGCCTTAAAAAATGGAAAGCAATGATTAGTTTGTGATATATGTATGTATGTATGTATGCACATATATACACACACGTATATAACATATCTCTGTGTGTGAATGTGTGTGTGTGTGTGTGAGAGAGAGAGAGAGAGAGAGAGACAGTCAGCCATGTAAGGGGACATCATACATTATGTATAATATATTAAATATTATACATATACAGTTTATCTCTACATGACAAATTCTGCCTTCTCTTTTTTGATATCTTATTCTATTTATGCCTTCTGTTTTTACATCATATTCAGTTTCTAATATAACAACTGCCTGCCTTCCTCACCAAGCCATCCCTTAAAACAAAAGGTTCAAAAAGAATTTAAAATAGTTCAGCAAGACTAAGTAACACAACCACTGTATTTAATCACATGTGCAGTTTTCCCTTCCTTAGTGCCACCCCCTTCCTCTCAGCAGTGAGGTGAAGGCGATTATTCTTTTTACTTTAAAATGATAGAAAATGAAATTTGGATAGCATCTAGTCGTAAGAATTAGTCAAAAAAGGTTAGAAGAACTTCCACTTAATAGAATGAATCCATGGGATTTAAAATAACAGCAAGCCTCATTTAACAGCTGAAATATTTACAGTAAGAATTAATCTATATACTGTCCTATTCTAACTCTAGTTTATGGGGATCCTCTTGGAAGGTTTCATAATAATAGAATAATATAATAGACTCCTCAAAATATTCAAATGGACTGAGGTGAATAAATTTCTTTGGTCAAATCCAAAAGGCTAAGCTAAAAGAAAATGGTTCATGAGAATTGATTAAAAACAAAACAAAACAAAACAAAACAGGAATTTCCTCTGTAACACAGTCAGCTCTAAGTCCCAGAAAGTGATGGAAAAAAATGAGATACAAAGGCCAGGTGTGAGAATCTAATTCAACACCTTTTCTAAAAAGAGGTAATTTATCACAATTCCCCAGAAGATATAGAAGCTTTTATATAGGAGCTTATATAGAAGATATAGAGCTTTTTCTACTTATTTTAATGTGCTCCCCTAACAAAGTTGAACTTTCTTCAGTTTTTATTGATAATCCCCAGGAACAATTTCAAAACTTTATCTTCTAATCAAAAAAAAAAGATGTCTTATAGGCAATATCTACATAACTGAAGCAATATGTAGACTGGTGCAATTATATAATGACTTATTCCATGCCACTCACCAATCACTTGGTGATCCCATTTCATTGAGGGTTGCCATTGTAACAGTTTGGTCTGGTCTTCAGGTTTTCTCCAGAGAGGTCAGAGACTGGATTTCAGCATCTTATGAAGACTGAAATTTGTTGTACTGGTTGCAGGAGCTGTCTACTATGATACAAAGAACCACATTGTGAAGGGATGATAATGAAGAATTTGTATTTCTATCATACTTGGTTTTTCTTAATTACACATGCCTGTCTCAGAGCATCATTTAAAATGTTTTTGTGAAATAAAAAGTTCCCGTATTACCTATATTTTAAGAACATTATACAGCTTAGTTCTCCATCTACACAACACAAATTCTGATTTGTAGGATTTATATAGACATATGTAGCACTTATTCTAGGGCTACTATCACAACTCACAGTCACAATGGAAGAATAGTTACCCATAGCAAAGATGCTTCTTTCCTCTCAGGTCTAGAGGTAGCCCTGATGTCTTTATAAAGCTATATAGCTCACAAGCCACTACTCCTGTACTTCCCACTAGTCAGCTGTTATGTCAGCCAGACTTATTTAACTTAAGGAAAGGGGTATTTGCTAAAGTGGTATAATAAGAAAAGTTGGGACAGAATGTTCTCCCAGATGTGTGTGACACACCCTCCCATGAGTACATACAGAATCCAGGGGACAAATGTCAGGCTGAGAGAGCACATGTGGAAAAGGAGTAACTCACATTTCTGTTTGCCAGCAGTACCTTTCTCCCCTTGTGGAATGAGTACTCATGGAATTCCCAGTGTGATGATGTCGATGTTCTGTTGTTCTATTGAATTCCTTGTAGAGCTTTAAATCTGTCTTTCCTATCAAGCTCTAGCTATCCTTGACTCCCAAGACAAGGACTACTGCTCTCAAAACACTGACAGGACACCAAAAAGAGCCCAAATCTTCCAGTCTAATTAAGTTGACAAGGTCTTTGAAGGGGTCCTCAGTGGAAAAAAATTTAAAAAGTTCTGCAAGGAAGGGGAAAGGAGGAGGTTGAGGCCAGGGTTCTTCTCTGTCCTTTCTCTACCAGATAGCTTTGCAGGAGCTTGGCTCCTTGCACTTTCTGCAGTCAGATGTTCAAACTCCAGGTTCTGAACTGACTCGCTCTTTTATAGATGCCCCACTGGGTACGACCAAGTTTTCTCAACTAATTTGAACATGCTTCCTCATTCTTGTATAGTATTGCTGGCATCCCGTAATGATTTTTCAAAGATAGGACTTTTCACATGAACTAAATCCCAGCATTGATTGATTCAATGGACCCGGCCTTTCCTTGTTCACACCTAGCTCACACCCCTGATTGATTGATTCTATCAAGATGTGTTGCCACCTGACAAAGGTATCTGAAGTAACATAATATGTGCTGGCAACCCTGCTTGATCCCTGTTTCAAGAGCAAAATTGAAAGTATCCTCCCATGAGTTGTAGGCATAGATCATTAAAAAGACCTTCTCATAAACAAAATGCCACAAGCTGAAACTTTTGGTGAGTTGTTTTGATTGATTGACTCAATCTTCTCTCAACCCCTATACATAGTATTAATCATGTGGTATATTATGCAGTGACTCAAGTCCTAAGGCTCTTCCTCAAATGTTCAAAACTGAATTTAAGTCAATTGAATGAGTAAAATATTAGAGGAACAGGGACTTTTCAACCTTAAACAATCGTGTAATACATTGCACAAATTATTCCTTCTTAGGTCAATTAAAAAAATGTCTCTTGCTTTTAAAGTCCAATGTCTCAACCAATATTAGAAATCCCAGATAATTTTTGGCACTGAGAATTCCCCTCTTTGCATGTGAAAGTCTGCAGTTACTTCACAGGCAGGATTTCCTACCATTCTACCATCTCCACACTGCTTCAGGCACATGGTCCAGTTCCCAGATGTGGCATTTTTCTTGAGGGAACAAGGAGACATGTTTTTATTCTTGGGATCAAAGGAAGCCTTCTTTTCAGAAAGTTGTCCATCTGGAACTTTCCATGAACTCTAAATTTACTTTGTTAGGAAAAAAGTGCCTAAATGTAATTAATATCTTTTCTCAATAGTTGAAAGTTTTAGACATGTACTTCAAAAATAAGTTGTGAAAGTTTTGTCATGTCTAGTTTTGAAAGTTATTTCTACACATTGAGTAAGGATGAAGAAGAAGGCAGGGCCTGCAGCATTTTGCTTATGAGAAGATCTTTTTCAGTGATCTATGCCTGTAAGGATAGTTTCAATTTTCCTCTTGAATCATGGATCAAGCTCTATTGCTAACACATATTCTTTCCTGTCAAACATTTCACTGATTCTGAATGTGTGTATGAACTATGTCTTCTGGAAGCATCATTGCAATGCTAGCTCCTTCACTTTCAAATTCAATTTGCTATTGTTAGAGCCAAGAAGCCTGCCTATCTCAGAGAGTGAGCCACATCTAGGAGCTGGGAATAACCCAAAAGTACACTGACCAGGAAGAAACTACAGTGATTAGGGGGGAAATAATGTAAAGTAGAGAAATTGAAGGACAAAATATGAATAATGGGATGTCTGCTATTGTAAGTCAAGAGCCAATTATTAGTCTTCTCATGTTAACTATGTTATTTCATTGCAGATTAATAGAAATAAGAAAGCTAGCATTTGGCTAATATATTTAGATAGAGTAAGATTTATAGGGTCACTCATCAAGAAGAGTTGGGCACAACTAAAATTACTGAACAACCACAATAAAATGGGGATTATAATAACCCTTATCTTCTGGGGTTCTTATGAGGATAAAAAAGAATAATATTCTTTAAAGTCTTTTCAAACTTTAAAGCAGTATGTATCCATTATTATTACTACTACTACTACTAATATGGTGTTAACTCTGGGATCTCTGAGTTATAAACATAGGATCTGCTACTAATTACTCTGTAACAAGCCATGTAATCTCAATGAATGAATGAATGAGTGAATGAGAAATAATTTATTAAGTGATTATTATATGCCATGTTCTGTGATTAGTATTGGATTCAATGGTTTCAAACCTTTATTTTTTGTAGAATAGTAAATGGATTGAATCTTTGTAATGGAATTCTTGTGAGTGATGTCCCATGGTTCAGGACTTAGGAAGGGCCAACATGAGGGTAGGCATATGAAAAGGTTTTGAGGGCAATGACCAGCAGAGCTCTGGGAAGGGCAGTTTCATTCAAATCTTAAGTGGGAAATTAATGCTCTTATGAAGTAGCCTTTGGAGGTCTGACTCAATAATGGGTTATCTGAGGAGACCTAGACACTCCTACAAGAATAAATGGACCCACACTCTCGATTCTGGAGAGCAGATGATGAAACATTACTTACTAATCTACCCTCATTAGAGAGATGAGGAACTACAAGGCTGATATTCCTCATATGAAGTTGCTCTGCCATTCAGTTTTGCTTAGCTATTTTCCTTTGTTCCAAAGGAGAGTACTTTATGGAGGTGTCATATGTCGTTAAAATGATTTAGGACTCATGTAATAGAAAACAAAAAGTATCAGCAAAACTTAAAAGCAAACAAAAAGAAAAACTGGATCCACTCTTGTGGATCTGGAATGAAAGGAAATTTTATGGGATTATTGAAGATGCAGCTGGCCGAACACCGGCACTCAGATCCTAGAGTCAGAAAGACCTGAGTTCATATCCAACCTCAGACATTTGCTAGCTATATCAAAATACTAGGCAAGTCATTTAAGCTCTTTGTGTCTCAGTTATTTTTCATCTATAAAATGAAGATTGAGGCAGCTACATGGCTTAGTGGATAGAGCAGTGGGCCTGGAATCAGGAAGACTTGAGTTCAAATCCAGCCTCAGACAGTTACTAGCTATGTGACCTTGGGCAAGTCACTTAACCTCTGTTTGCCTAGGAGGCAGCTAGGTATCTCAGTGGATAGAGCACTAGGCTTGGAGTCAGAAAGACCTGTTTTGAAATCTGGCCTCAGATACTTACTAGCTGTGTGATCCTGGGCATGTCACTAACTTCTGTTTACATTAATCTACTGGAGAAGGGTATAGTAAAATGCTCCACTATCTTTGCCAAGAAAACCCCATGGACAATAGGTCCATGTGGTCAAGAGGAGTTGGGCACAACTAAAATTACTGATCAACAACAATAAAATGGGGATTATAATAACCCTTACCTTCCAGGGTTCTTATGAGGATAAAATAGAATAATATTTTTTAAAGTCTTTGCAAACTTTAAAGCACTATGTATCCATTATTATTATTACTAATAGTAATAATTATGATTTTGGGGGATCTGATTCTCATGGAAGTTGCATTGGAGAGAACACTTTGTGTCTGTACTACTACTATTAAATAACATTTATGGTGTTCTAAGGTTTGCAAGGTGCTTTACAAATATTATCTTATTTTAACCCTGGGTGATAGGTGCTGTTCTTATATTATTCCTTATTTATAAGTGAAGAAGCTGAGTCTGAGAGGGGTTTAGTGATTTACCCAGGATTCCAAAGATAGTACGTTTCCAAGACAGACTGTAATTGGTCCTCTATTTGTCTTTCTGTCCATATCTCTTTCACACACACACACACACACACACACACATACACTTGATCTTTTTTATTTTTCATTTAAAGGATTTATGTTGGTTAGAATGGGCTTTCTGAAACATGCTATTGCTATGACTATCACATGCTGATGCAGGAGAGAAGGCCACCTACACACCTGCTCTTTAGCTTCAACCTTAGCTTCATTAAATATTCATTGCCACAGGCATAGAGAGGCAAAATGGGGACATGCCCTGGAGCAGCATAGAGGTGAGCCACAGAAGAGCACTAGCTCTTAGTTTTTTCTTGAAATTTTGTAAGAAAATTTTCATTGCTCTTACAAAAGAGTACTCTGTGGATAACCTGGAAACCATCTGCTATGTCATGTTTGGAGCAGGGATCTGTAGTCACATACCTTGCCATAGACTATTTATCCTTTGCCAGAAGTGTGTCCTTGGAAGAACCAGGAGATTTTACAAAAGAAAATTGAAGTATCTTAGGGATCTTAAAGGCCATCTGGTGCAAAACCCCTCATTTCACAGGAGAGAAAATTGAGTTGCAGAGAAATTAATTACATTGTCTAATGTTGTTATACATGTGGTAAGTGACAGAGGCAACTCACT